GTGGCTGCAGTGGAGTGGGTGGCAAAGAAAGGCTCAGGCAGAGGAAAATCCTCCACTGGAGAAAGCAGATGGGCACGAAGCACGTCAACAGTCCCCTTTGAGCCAGTGCCATCTCAGTAGGGCCAGCCCAGGTGGGACAGCCCTTACAACCAGCTGGCTGCTCTGAGAAGCGGCTGCATCCTTCCACAGCCAGGCAAAGGGGCAATCCCAGCTGCTCCTTTCCTTCCATGGGTGCACAGATCAGCCAAAAATACCTGAAAGCACATGGACTGATCACGTACAGGCCTCTCACATCCCAACAAACCAGTGCCAAAGCTCAGCACCATCCCACAGGACCAGGATCCGTGATGATTCCCTTGTGAGAATAACAGGATGGATTTGTATCGAGAAATACTCCCACTTTAAATGCACACACACTGCCCTTCGAGCAACTGATTTTTCGCTGAATGCACAATCAAAAAGCACAATTTTGGTTTCTGTGACTTTACTTGCAGATGAGGAGCAGCCCAGGGCAGCCGTGGGTCAGGCTGCTGGGGCCCTGCATCGTGTTCCTCTCTTCGTGGACAGCATCTCTAGCAGGCCTGAGTTACCCAGGCGCTATTTGGCTTCTGTACACTTTGGCATCTCTAACATCTTTTTTTTTTCCTCCTTCCTTTTCTAAACTCACCCTGCAGGATACAGTCTTTTGGGAAACCATGTGCAAGCTCATCTTTTTTCATGCCAGCACAGCTTTCCTTCTCCTTCCTCTTCTGTCTTTTCAAGGTCTAAAAGAAAACACCATTCAGATACTTAAAGGTTACAGTTAGCTTTTACTTCATCAGTGCCTTAAAAAGGAAGTATTTCTTCCAGAGGGAGAGTAAGTAAGTAGGGTATTCACAGATCTTGAACAGGACAGTAGCAAATTTCAGTGGAACTCCATACAGCTTGAGCAATATAAAAATCTTACTGAAGGTTTCTTCCTCTGTTTGTACAAGTATTCCCTAATTATCTCTGGAAAGTAATAGCTAGGTTAGTTTAAACAGGTGGTTTAAATTTTGCCTGAAGTACATCAGGGAACAGTCCACCTCTGCACAAAGAGAAGTGGGAGAGCAGTAACTCCGGGCGAGACAGGATGACAAACAGCAATTAACTCTCAAGCTGTTTGCAGCCTCTATAACTATCTAGAGCTCAATGCAACAAAGCTCTCCAATGATTTTTATCTATGCAGGGCAAAGTCAAATGACACTACAACACACATCTCACTAATACCTTACTTTTGCCCTATATTCAGGGCCAACCCTAAATAGCACGGATGAGTTATGAAACTACTATAACAGTGACATACTTTCACGGGGTCTTCATTCTGTCTAAATATTGACAAGGGACATGTTCATCCCTGTTCTGCCCTAATTAATTCAACATATTAGCACCTGAGAAATGGTTGACCCAACTCCCTCAATTGAAATTCATAATTTAAGCAGAAGCTGACCAAAAGGTACCGGGATTGCATGGCAAACAGGACAGGACAGTTGTCTCACACTGTAAGAGAGCCATTAAAAATAAAATGAAGATTTAGTCAGTTATTGACAGAATCAATGGGGGGGGCAGGAAGCTAAATGACTTGCTGCAAAATGAAATCACAGGAACTGAAGAGTAAATCAAAGCACTGCCTGAGGTCATGTAATCTGTCCTCCAGCCAGAGGTGGGCTGGTGCTGAGCATCTCTGCCCCAAGCCCTGTCCAAACGGGTGGATGTTTTTAGCATTGGAAACCCACCTGTAATACAAAAGATGATTTTATTGCCTACCAAGTCTCCTGCCCTGAAGTTTTGCAAGCATTCATGCAAGCCTTCTGGTTTAAACAGCCTCATCACTGCTAGGTACACCTACCCAGTGTGCTTCTGCCATGCCAGTCCCACTACTGCAATGAATCTCAAACTTTCCTATTGCCTGGGCAGTTGTTTAGCAAAGTGCACAAACCAGCCCCTACCACACATTTTCTCACTCCTGTCTTTGTACTTGCTGACAGCAAGGCTTGCACTCACGCTGCTGGTCCTGCCCTAAAAAAAAAAATAAGACTTTTTTTTTTTTTAATTAGAAAATGAATTTATCTAATTCCCAGCTATAACAATTTCTTGCTTGGCTATATTTCATGTAAAAATAAGAAAAGGGGGGAAAAAAAGTTGCTGGTGAAGCACTTGCTCAGCCCCTGCACAGGGCCCTCCTCACCCATCCGCTGCTTCTCCAGGAACTCCAACTTCCTCACCAGGCCCTGACTCCCAGCTAGAAAATCCACAGCCTCCCATTGTTCTGTAGCAAAGACTTAAAAAAGACTTAAAAGACAGCAAATCTGCTGCAGCTCTGGGTCTCCCCAAGTTCCTCACATCTCCCCAGCCCTTTGGTCCTCCAAACATAAGGCTGGGAGACACCACAGCCTCCAGGGAGGCTCGCACCTCTCTGTGCAGCAGCTCTGGGCTGTGGATGATGTTAGTGATAAAGCCAGTTTTGCCTTTTACCAATACACCAGCCAATGACACCAAATGCAGTTTGATCCAGAAATGAACTAAAACCAACCAGCCAAAAAAAAAACCTGGATAGGGTACAGCCAAGAGAACAATCTAGCCCTGAAGCCCTTTTCAGATGCTGGACACAAATAAGAAATTAAGGGGGAAAAATAAAATAGAGGAAATTTTTAGTGCTGCCTTGCTGCAAGAGTCCCTCTGCTTCCAGCAATTGGCATCTTGGGGGCTTCCTGAAGCACAGCGAATGCAAACATTGCATTTAGCTCCTTGCAGGATCAGGACACAAATTACTCAGGAGGAAGGGCCACTTCGCTCGTCTTTGTGCTGTCGCTGGAATCACTCATCTCATGAGCGATTTGCAGCTTTTGGTCCATTTTTTTTTCCTCAATTTCTGTCGCTGCAAAGCAAATTTTCATCTTATTAACAGTGTAGATTTCTGGACTACATCTTTAATCCACTTATTGCTGTAGTATCACATAGCTTGAAAATGCTAGCACACAAAACAACGCTGCTAGAAGTCTTCCTAAATTCAAGAGACCTAATAATTGGAGTAGTGATTAGACAAGCATAAATAGCAATACGCATGTAATGACACACAGGTATATAAAGATGAAAGCAGAATGAAATGGCGACATCACAAAAATGTCATTGCTTTTAAACTACAAAAATCCCTGGCCACGGACATCCTGTTCCTTCTCTACACCGTCTGCATCACTATTTCCCAGCACAATTCCCAGGCAAATTATCACTTCATTTCCAGTGCCTTCACTTCACAGCTACCAAAATTGCTGCTATAAAACTTCTCCTTTTACAGCCAGGAAGGGAAACCCTGGATCAGATTGCCGGTTCCCTCCCTTATAAAATAAAGGGGAAAATGCTATTCCAGGAAATAAATACATTAAAAAAAAAATAGCTAAACAAAGGCACCTCCTGCACACACTGGTGTTCTTCCCCTTTGAGTCTGTACCAGAGAGGAAGGAAAATGAAGCGATGAAAGGGATGCCAGGAGGGGGGTGGGGGGGATGCTGCGTGCGTCCCTCGGGAGCTCACTGCAAGAAGGGAGGCTACGAAGTGCTGCTCAGGGGCACCCCAAGCCCAGAGTGTTTACAAGCGGGTGCTGGACCCAAACAGGGAGGCTCATTGTCCCCGCTGCACTCATGTCACCCGTCCCCAGAGCTGCAGCTCAGGGACAGCCTGCCAGAGGACACCCAGTGCCAACTACACGAGGGAAGGGCAGAAGCAAATACGCAGGAGAAAGGAGGAAAAAAATAAAATATTAAATACCCGCTCAGCTCTACGCTCTCTTCCTGCCCTCGGGACAGGCTCCAAGGAGTTTTAGGGTGGATTCAGTTTAAAGGGCACGGAGAGATGCTGGGAGATCTGCGAGGAGCAGCACCCCTCTGCCCTCGCCCCTTTTCCAGCCACCAGTACCAAGGCATAGGTCTGTGCTCCGCAAGGGGCTGCAGAAATACGAGAGGGGAAAGCACCCTGATGTCATGCTAGGGAAAATGCCTCGGATCTTGCACCAATATCGCAGCAGCGGTCACGCAAAGATCCCACAGAGAGCAAGGAGCAAGCAAAGCTGCACCACGGCAGAGATTTGCTGGGGCACAAAGTTTTTCAGAAGTTCAAAATATCTGCCCTTATCGCGTTTCTAAACGGAAGGGAAAAGAAAAAAAAAAAAAATCATTCGACAGTTTGTGAGTTGAAATAAAACATCAGGCTGTCCAACTGACAGCTTTGAAAATCTGCACTCCTGACACGGCTCAGAGAAAAAAAAAACAAAAACGAAAAAGCCACTCGCAGACGGATGCACAGCTCCACCGGACCCCTCTTTATGGGCAAGGACTTGGGAATGAGGGGGACAAACAGGAGAAACCCCAAGGCAACGCACACCAGCAACCACAAGCCCCATCCTTTATAAAAATAATAATAATAATAATAATAATAATAATAATAATAATAAAACCTTATGTGACTTTTTGAAAAGCTTTTATTTTTTCCCCATCTCAGCAGCAAAGTACAGCGAAGAAAAGCCCACCCCATTTATTTTTCACCGCTGCACCGTATGGGATGCAAACAGGGCAGGGTCCCCCAGCATCCCGGTACCCGGCACGCACCATCCCGCATCGCCCCCAAAGGACCGGGGAGGGGTCCGCTAATCAGTGCTCTAATTAGGCTTTTTTTTAAAGAAAAAAAAAAAATTGCTTTTTTTTTTTTTTCAATAGCAGTAACCCGGGAGAGCCGGCACAGCACAGCCCCGCGTTGGGAAACGCGCCGTGCGGGTAAAGGTATTGGGGTGCGAATAAAAAAAAGGAGAAATGAAATAAAATAGAAGAGAATAACTAAAAGAAAATAAATTTTTAATTATTTATAATTAAAAGAACAATTAAAATAAGATAGAATAATTAAAAGAACCATTAAAATAAGACAGAATAATTAAAATAGAAGAGAATAAAATAGAAGAGAACCAGATAGAATAAAACAAGCGCAGAACTCACCTGGTTCGGGATTTTTCCTCCCCCTCCACGACCACAAAACCAGGCGGGAGCCGGGCGCTGCTCCCCGGCGGTGGGGTGGTTTGGTTTTTTTTGGGGGGGGGGTGGGGGGGATGTGGTGCAGCCCCCCGGGGGTCGGTGCCGGGCGCCCCCCGGTGCTGTGCTCCCCCCCCCGGGGCTGGGGGCCGGGCTGCGAGCACCCCACAGGGCGCCGACCCCCCCCGGACCCCCCTGCGGTGCCCCGCGGCTCCCCGGGCTGGGCGCGCAGCCACCCCCGGGGCAGACCCCCCCCTCTTATTATATATATATTTTTTTTTCCCCGTTATGCACGCAGCGAGGCACTCCCCCCCTCAAAGGCTCGGTGCGGGAGGACCCCCCCCGAGGGGCTGGGCGCGAGGGAACCCCCCCGAGGGGCTCGGTGCGAGGCCGCCCCCGGTGCCGGGGCTGCAGGAGCGGAGCCCCCCCCCTCAGGCCCCCCCCTCCCCTCCCGGCAGGGGGAGGCGGTGCCAGCGGAGCACAATGCCCGGGCGATGACATCACCCCTCTCCCCCATTGGCCGAAGCCGGCCCGCAGCGCAGGCTTCTGGGAGTTGTAGTCACCCTCGCTATTCCCTCCTATAGGGAGGGGGTGAAGGCGGACTCGCTTTCCCGGCAGGCCCCGCGCCGCGCAGCCCCATGGAGGAGGAGGAGGGGGGCGGTGGCGGGCGCCATGTTGGTGGCGTGAGGGTGGTGGCGGTGCGGGAGGGGAGCCGGGCTAAGATGTCGGAAAAGGGGGGCGGAGGGGGGGCGCTGGGTGCCTCCTGAGCAGGGGGAGGCTCCGCGAGCCCTCGGCGGCGGGGCCCTGAGGAGCGACGCCCGCTGAGGTGGGTGTGAGGGGGGAGCCTGTGAGCTGGAGGCAGCTCGGTGAGGTGAGGTGGGGTTGGGGCATTTTGGGGGGGGGGGGGTTGGGAGGTGTTTTGGGGGGGGGGTGGAGGCCGCCTGGGGTTGTGCAGGAAGGCGGCGTGGCTCTGGGATAAGGGCTCAGTGCTGGGCTGTGGTGCAGGAGTCACGGCACCTGGCGTGGGGCGAAGCGCAGGGGGTGGTTTGAGGAGCCTCGGGGTGGTTGCAGGGGACGCGGCCTTGTCACGCAGCTGGCGATGCCCTGAGCTGCCGCCGCCGCTGGGCTCTTCCAGGGGTCGGGCTGGTTGTGGCCGTGCTGGTGGTTCGGGGGGCGGAAATAAGTGGCAGAGTGTGCCCAGCAGGAGGAGCTGTGCCGCCTCCCAAGGGCAGCTCTCCTCACTGCCGTACGCACGGAATGGGTAAGGTGGTGTTAAGGCCTCTCTGTGTGGCCTGGAAGTAGCCCAGTTAATGTGTTTCCCTGTCTTCTTATCAGGGCTTAAGGAGCTGACCGGTTCCAGGTGCTGTCTTGGGTTCAGCATACTCGCTGCCTGGCTTGAGGATGCCAGCTAGATTTTTTTTAATGGCTGTAGAATTTCCTGTACTGACAATAAGCTCTGCTTGTGCTGTTCTTTGTGAGAGAATAGAAAATTAGCCATTTATCAAATGAGAAGCTCATCTCTGGTAAGGGGACTGGAGTTCTCTTGTTATTGCTGAAATATTTTTTCTCTAAACTGGGAGGAAAGGCAATGATGTATTCTATGGTTTGTGAAATTATATGGTTTTTAATTACAGCTCATTCCTGTGAAATAAAGTTCTTTATTACTTCAAGAGGACACTCCATTGAAAGGAGTTGAAGAGTTTTGTAGGCTCCCTGCAAGTGTGAGCCTAAGTCGAATAATGGTGTAGGTCAGGAAAAAGGATTTAAAAGGTTTTATTTCTAAAATACTTTGGCTCCTCCTGGAGGTAAGTACAATGCGTTTGCTCAGGGTAATACCTCACAGTAACTACGCAGGTATGGAAGTTGTTTGCCCAAGGGTACATCCAGATGGTGGAGGAAGGGTGTCATGAGATATAATTCCTAACCACATCATTAAACCTAAATGTTGGAGTCTTTCAGGATTTGTTGATACTACAGCAATGCGTGCCATTCTTCCATCTCTTTAAATCCAGATCCATCTAGTTAAAGAATCTGAACTAATTCCTAGCTTTTCCCATCCTCTTGCAAAAGACCAGGTGTCTTTGGAGGTGCGCCTTACATAGTTCTCCCTACCCCAGTTTATCCCTTTTGCCATCTTCATCACTGAAGGAAAGGAGAATATAATGCTCTGTTGGCGCTATAACTTTCAGTAGTAGTTGTAAACATCTGAAGAATCCTGAATTACAGGCATCCCCGCCTTTGTCTTCTTTCTCTGTGCCGCTGTGGCAGTTGTGCCATGGAAAAAAAAAGGCAGTGGCATGATGATATGTTACAACGGTTGCTCTCTTTAAACTTCAACCCTGTGCTTATATCTGTGTAGCTGATGCCAAATAATAATGGTAAGTATTGCAATGTCTTCTCTATAACCGGCAGAAAACATGGATGTGAAATCCTCATCCAAGGTTCAAATATATACTTTTAAACTGGTTTAGAAACAATTCCACTGGCATTGGCCCTTCTCTTTCTGTCCTTCCTCTCTGATCCAATGCTGCTGCTCAGGGCAGAAAGCAAGGATGCATCCTGCTTTACAAGTAAAATTACTTCACTATTTTACTATTCTTCGTTATCTGAAGGTGCTGCAGATGTCTCAGCTAAGAGTTGCTTTAGGAGATTGAAATGTAGAAATAAAGAATTAATGTAAGAAAGTACCCAGATGAATACATGATGCAGCAGACAAGTAAAATACTCCTGTGTTGTATGGTTTACTTTCATGATTCTGGGGTGGTCTAATATTTGTCACCATGAATTTTACTGATCACAACTTGCAAGAGTTTTTAATTGTAAAACCTTTGTTGTCTCAAATTTAGATACTTTTTGTACAGTGTTTGTTTGAAAATGATCGTGTCTGCTTACCTTCTGACTTAACAGGTCCTAATTGCAAGATCTGCAACAAGCTTATAACCCTTATAGCCACGCTGTGGAAATAAGTGTTGTCGCTGTTGTCACAGTGTTTCACACAAGAAGACTTAAGGTGACAATAGAATCAAATGCCTGCCTTTGCCATTTCTAGAATGCATGGGTATACTCTGGTTTAATAGTTTATGAAAGCTTGTTCAAGTCTCTGAAAGGTGCCGAGCCTGCTAAGCTGCCATGGTTGTTTATACTTCAGTTATTTTGTCAAAATTCTACACGATAGGAGCTACAACTCCCATGTTAGAAAAATGATTTTGGTCACAGTAAACTCAGGTAAGCAACTACTCAGTGCCCTGAAATAGGGAGAAGCAGTTGGAAGTCCCAGAAGATGGGTAAAGAAGACAAGGATAAGTAGGAATGTGTGATGCCTGTTCGCTGTTTTTCTTAAAGAAGAAATTAATGCATTTTCATACATGGAAACTTCCTATCTCAGCTTTCATTCTGAAAGGTTCTTTCTCTTCCTTAAAACCTAAAGGATTTGCATGCTATAAATTCAACCTTCCCTGGATAGTATGCAAAAACGGGTCTACAGTCTGTATGAGAAATACACAGGTCTACAAGATGAAGCGTGAAGTTGGTCCTATATAACTTCAGCCATCAAACCTGCTGGGTGGAAACATTTTCATGTGCACTCAAACAGGAAGTGGAGGATGGTTTCTAAAGGTAACTGATAAAATCTGTACTAGTCTTGGCACTTAAAAAAAAAAAAAATCAATTCTCTTACTATCCCAGCTACAAAACTTAGTTGTCCACAGTTCCCCTGGGGAAAGGGGTTAAGCTGAAGAGTCACAGCCAGATTACTTGCTTTAGAGCTTATGAGGAAAGGGGGGTAAAGACTTTCAAATTACTGCTCTGATTTTGGGGTTTAAGCAGTTGCTGTGAGCTTTCTTGTTTGTAATGATCTCCAACAGAGCTGCATCCTGAAGAGTTTACAGCTGCAGGGTGAGAGAGTGGATTGAGCTGGGCATAGCAGGTAAAAACTATATGGTGTTACTGTTCTCAAGAATCTTAATGGTAATTCAGGAAAATAATCTTAAATACATTATTTATTCTACTTTGTTCTTAAACAGAACTTGAAAAGGCACAGGTAAGAGCAGAAGGATTCTGTACCTCAAGTGTTCATAAATTATGGGGACACAGTTAAATATCCAGGAGACCCTAGAATTCCTGCATTAACTTTTTTTTATTTTTCAGTGCAAGAAGAGTGCTTTGAGAGCAGTTGAGAACCTCTTCAGGTGTCCTAAGCATGTTCTCCAACTGAAACGTGGCAGCAGTTCAATAGCAGTTACACAACAGAAGGGGGTTTGCACAGTACTGCAAGTCCTGGATTCATAGGAACTGGTTTTAGTAGAGAGAAGACCTCAGGTTTCTCCAGAACTTTTAACTCCTGTGAATGTAAATGAGGACTCATCCGCAGTACTGAAGAGGAAACTTACTCCTACTGTTGACACTGGACAGGAGGATTAGGATAGGGGACTTACTTCATTCTAGGCAGAGCACTGCCTTTGAAAAACTGCAGGCAGTCCTAAGTACAGGAGATTCCAGTTGTGGGAAAATCCCCCTTGGGAGGGCACACTAACAACGGGGAGAACTTGGTAAACAAGGGAAACACAAGTTAAGCATGCTGCTTCTCAGCTAAGTGCAGGCATTTCTCTTCAGGTGACATGACTTAAGGTGTCCTTTGAAGACCACAGAGTTACTGCCAGACCACATTCCCATTTCTCTTAAGAACTTAAATGCAGTTGCACAGTCCAGGACCACCCAAGTAGTTTTAGTCTCGGTCAAGTGAGAGAATACTTACTGATTTAAAAATAAGAGTACTTTTTGGTCCCCTTGAGTCCTGCAGAGCTATTGGAGCGGTGCACTGAAGGTAAGCTTTCCCCACCCACATGTTGCAAGAGACTGGCACACAGATCACTTGGGGGTCCAGGGCTGAGCATAAAGCCTTTGGCTGGCTGTGATCTAGCCGTCATGTACCCAATAAGCACACCTCAGCAATTCCACGTGGAACGAGAAAGTTAACACTGGGGCTGCACTGGTTCAGATGTGCTCTGTGTGCGCACTGTGCTCATTGGCACAACACTTGATTTCATACTGTGTTGCATAAAGCACGCAGGGTATCATGCTGAGGTTACACTGAGTACAGACCCTGCTCTCATGCCAGTAATCCTGGGAAGGTCTATTTTTGTTGTGTAGTGGTAAACCTGGGTTTGTAAATGATACTGGCTCACTCAGGTGCCAGTGTGCCTGTCCATGCCAGAGCAGTACTCCATGAGCTGGCAAATCCTTAAGCATGGTACTAGTTTTCAGTTATTTAAAAAAAAATAAAAGGGAGGGGAGGTATGAGGGGGTTAGGCAGGGATTTTTTTTTCTGATGGGTGACACCAAATTTAAAAGCTGACTAAAAATATCTCTTTGGGAAAGTACATTTTAGGAAAATATAAATGCTGTGATTAGGGTAATGTGACCCACCGGTTATGGCCATTGTCCAGCACGGTTCCTCATCCCTGGTTGTGTATAGTTTTTTGTTTTGTTTTGTGGTTTACGTGAAAAAGCACGTTGGACATAGGGAGACTGTGAAAACTATAACCATAGGTAAAAATGTCACAGCTGCTTTTTTGTTAAATCACACACCATTTATTTTCTAAGAAAGTCCTGCAACTAAATTGCTGGAGTCCCAGGTTATGCGTGTGTTCCCACTTCTCTGGCTACTTAGGTGCAATGGCACAAAATTACTCCTTGCTTTCTACACAATTCAGTTTAAAATACAAGTCTTTCCAGTGTGAGTACTGTGCAGCAGTATCATTGGAGCATTCCTTAACATGCACAAGCCGTTTCCATGTCGGTATGTAACACTGCAGTGTGAAAAAGCACCCAGCTGCAGGGATGGTGCCATTTGATAGTGTCTCCTGTGCTGGAATTCCCTGGTTTTACTCCCCTTGCCTTGGACTCTGGTGACTGGTGTTTTTCTGAACTTTTTCTGTGTGTTCTCACTCTATCATGTACCTGATTATTTTTTGTTTGTTTTTGCCATTTCTCTGCAAATACCTTTTCATGGAAAACGGGGAACAACAGTAAGTACCTAGGTTCCTGGCCAAGTTTCCATTTGCATGGTTTCACTTGCTCCATTCTGTCAAGTTACATGCAGTGTCCGAAGGATATAATTTAGTGGACTGCTGGTAAGAAGCTAACCTTTACATCTTGGCCCCAGCCCACGTAGGTCAGGTTTATACAAGCCTGCTTCCTTAGGATGAATCCAGTGGCTAGTCTTTTACAGCCTTTGGTTTTCTGTTGCACTGCTTTATGACAAAATAATGTTATGCTGCTCTTGCAGACCCTTAAAAAGGGGTAATGTAGGGGGTGATTGCATTATACCTGCTGAGTTGCACAGCCCAGAATCTTCTGAGCATTGCTCTTCTATTTACACAAGACCTCGGGCTCTCAAGTGTCCTAACTGCTCAGGTTCTGGGTTCATCTGTACCAGGGTGGCTTTGTATCCAGCAGAGCCTTTTGGGGCATGCATTCCCAGAAGGTCCACAACCCGAGCTTTGCATTCTCAGAAAATGTAGCTGTGTGATGTGGGCTTGGTGGCACGGCTCATTTAAGGTGCTTGCTGTTATCTTTTGCCCCTTGCACTCCTGTTCCACAGTACACGGTTCCCTGGCATGCCAACGCTGCCATCTGCAGCGGCACAGAGATTAGTCAGGATGTTATGTGCCCTGCCCTGTGTGCTTTTCTTTGGCCTGGAGTGGAAGCAGGAGGGGTTTGTAGTTCTGTGGCTCTTTTTTAAACCTGGATCAGGTCAGTGAGGTGGTTGAGAGCATTTCAAACACGGCAGTAAAAATCAGCGATCAGGTGCACAGCAGAAGTTGGCCTTTGGGCTGGTTGCTGAAGCTTCTATCTCATTAAACCATGTACCTAAAGATGCAGTTCATTTTGTAGGGGAGGAGCAGCACCGTGTCCCTTGTGTATGATTGCTATTGTTAACTGTGTTTTTTCTGCTTTAGGTCCCTGATACAGGACGCAGCCAAATGTTTGCTGCATGTAGCCTTCTGACTAGGGAGTGGCAGCTTGAGAAACCCCGATGCCTGTAAGCGTAGGGGGAGAAGAGATTTAGAGATGTGGAGGAGTTTTCCCAAAGTGTTGCCTTTTATAACTGCTACGGAGAGTACTAACTTCTTACCTTAAAATGTAAGTATCTCTCACGGTTAAGGAGTTCTGTCGCCCCTGCACACCTAGCCAAATACACCTCTTATATTTAATGACAGAGTAGATCTACACAAAGAATTAAGTACTGAAATGATTCACGTGATAGATGTTTTTCATGTCAATATTTTCCAGTGGTCCTGATAAAAGTGAATCAGTTTCATTACAGTGGACGTCTTTACTATGTAAATACGATTTACTGCCTCCACTCTGGTAATGGTGAATCTTATCCTCTGGTGAGCCTGTCTCTCAAAGCGAGCCTGGTGAGGATGACGCAGTGGCAGCCATTTCAGAATGAAATGTGCAGTGGTTTTACTGTTATGGTTCTGCTTTAGTCAATGTCAGCTATAATAGTAATTGCATCCCTAAAGAGATTATTGCTGCTGTTAAACTTTCTGGAAAAACAAATAGGTAGAGGCAGATGCAGTCCTCATGTGAATTGGCCGGAGGGTGTTGCACAGCCAAGTGGGTACTGCATCTCGTGTGAGATGAAGGACATCGGTGCTTTATGAGTCTGTGGCAGTGAAGTCCATTGACCTCCCTGCAAATTCCTGCCTGCTGAAAGCTACTCTTGCCTCTTGGTTTTGTGAGTGGAGCAACTACTGGCCTAATGCTTCCCGCTGGAAACAAGCAGGTAAGGAAAGGGAGTTGATTTAGTGGGTACCCTGAACCAATGAAAATGAATTATTTTGTTTACTCTTAATTTATAAATATTACTCACATATTTATAAACCAATGCATCATATTGTAAATATTCATAAATGTGGACATAATATATGTGTATATATTTGTATAATATGTATCACCCATATTTATAGGTATATAAGATTGCAGTTTATACGTATATAAATCAATAAGCCAGGGGAATCAAGGAAAAATAGAGAAGTGTGTTGCCAACGGGATCCTGGGATGGAGCAGCTGTTCCTGTTGAGAACAAGTCAAAGGTGACAGTCTGGTCCCAGGTAAGTATGGCTTGTGCAAATTTTCTTGTTTTGTTAAAATTTCTAATTATTTCTCTCTTTCCAGCTCTCATCCTTCAGCAGGTTCTTTGGCTGTGGGTTAACCTTGTCAGGAATATCAAGGCATGTGACATGCTTGGCCACAGAAGTCGGTACGTGTGGGGTCTCTCACAAGTTCCTGTCAACACTTCAGCAGTGCAGCTCTCCAGAATGGATAACGTTGCTGCCATTCATTCTGAGTGGCATCATGGTCTCCTTTACATGGGTTTTACACTATCTCAGTTATCTCAACCTTTTGCTACAGTCAGTTTTTCATTATCTGAAGGTAAATTTAGGTACAAGTCATGACAGGCAAGGTCCTGGCTTGGAATATGCCTGCCTTCCTGTAGCACTCAGTCACACTCTGGTATGGGTGGATTTTCCTCTTAGGTACAGTCAATTTGCCAGTCTTATTCCTCCCAAAGCCATTATGCAGCTGAATTTTCTATCTTTTCCAGTTCTTTATCTGCACAGCTTCCAGGTAATGTGTACCTTTGGGGCACAGTGGGATGGCTACCCCGGGCTTCCCCAAAATTACTGCTCAGCAGTCAGGCAGTGATATAAATACAAGATGTTATTTTGCTCGTGCCCACCAACCATGAATGGTTTTTTGATTTGTCACCACTTAATTTCTAAATAACACCCAGGTTATCCAAACTTTGTTCTCCCTGCCATATGCAGCACCATGCACTCTGTATTCACTCTGTAGGTTACACCCTGATACTGGTGATACTGGTGGCTACAGAATTCCAGCTATTACATCCCGTCATTAGAAGAAAGGAGGGGAAAAATAAATCTTTCCCTTTTCTTTTAGGATGCCCTGACTGGCTCCAGAGCTGGTGCAGGAGGTTGTGAGCAGCTGCTGCCCTCTGTCCTGTTTTCTCCTGCCCTGGATGGTGGGACAGCAGCACCCTATGGTGAGGGGGCACCACTCTCACAAGCTGCTCCCGTCTCTGTCTGAACAGGCATGGTGCTTCTGTCCCTGTCTGTTCCTAGGTCTGTGTCCCCCTTCCTGAAGCTCACTTCTTTTACTGTTTGAAAACAGCTCTTCTAACGAATATGACCCTTTTAGCACATGCAGTCCTTAGGTACAGGAGGGCTTGAATGTGTCTTGGCATGCCACCAGAAGACTTTTTTTTCATGGGTGACTGAAGAAATCTGCTCTTCCATATATAGTTTGTAACAGAGGGGACATGAATGTGGACAAAACCAAAGAAATACCTTTGTAGAGACTTGATGAGCTTGCAACATGAAGATGGGCCTAACCTTTTTCAAAGGGTCCTTCAGAGGAACTGTTAGGTGAGGTGAGGGGAGAAACTTCTGACCTATTTCTACTTTCTAGTGAATGTTTGAGCAAAATAACAGCTAGAGAAGCCCTGCATGTTATGTGTAGTAATCAATTAGAGCAAGGGCTGGATGCAGCTGCAATGGGAGGGAATGGCACGGTTCCCCCATCACAGAACCATGGCACCCGTAACACTAATGGGCAGGGAGACAGGCTTGGTCCCTCCACCTCTCACTCAGGTCACACATCTGAAGCCTTCAAATACTACATGGTGCTGCAAAATGCAAGTCAGAGGTGTTTTGAAGTTGGAGAGGCTACTCTAGCTGCTGGGCTGTTGTACTGGTGGGCCTCCAGCAGAGGGGAGCTCTAAGAGTGTTCAGGCATTGCTTTAGTGTTTGCTTTTCCAGAATCACAGAATGGCTTGGGCTGGAAGGGACATAAAAGATCACGTAGTTCCAAACCCCCTGCCATGGGCAGAGATGCCACCCACGAGATCAGATTGCCCCAGGCCATGTCCAACCTCGCCTTGAACATCTCCAGGGATGGGGCATCTCCACAACCTCTCTGGGCAGACTGTGCCAGGGCCTCACCACCCTCTGAGTGAAGAATTTCCTCCTACTCTCAAATCTAAATCTCCCCTCTTTTAGTTTAAAGTTATCCCCCTTGTCCTATCGTTATCTGTGTGAGCAAAGAGTCACTCCATCTTTTTTTTTTTTTTTTTTTTAAGCCCCCCATAAGTACTGAAAGGCTGCAATGAGATCTCCCTGGAGCCTTCTCTTCTCCAGGTTGAACAACCCCAGCTCTCTCAGCCTTCCTTCACAGGAGAGGTGTTCCAGCCCCTTGATCATCCTTGTGGCCCTCCTCTGGACCTGCTCTGACAGCCCCACATTCTTGTGCTGGAGGCCCCAGACCTGGATGCATTACTCCAGGTGGGGCCTCACAAGGGCAGAGCAGAGGGGGACAATCACCTCCCTCCACCTGCTGGCTGCTCCTCTGTTGGTGCAGCCCAGAACACAGTTGGCCTTCTGGGCTGCAAGCATGCACTGCCAGCTCATGTCAAGCTTTCTGTCCACCAGAACCCCAAGTCCTTCTCTGCAGGGCTGCTCTCAGTGATTTTTTCTCCCAGTCTGTACTCTGGGCCAGGATTGCCCTGTCCCAGGTGCAGCAGCCTGAATATGGAATCTTTCCGTTGTTATCATAGAATCATCTAAGTTGGAAAAGACCTTCAAGATCACCAAGTCCCATCACTAAACCACATCCCTTAGTGCCACATCCACACATTTCCTAAATACCTCCAGGGTTGGGTATTCACACGGTCTCTGTGAAGAAATCCTCGCTAATGTCCAAACTAAGCCTCCCATTGAGAACTTCCAGTTGCATCCTATCGCTTGACATCTAACTAAGCAGCCCAAATTCCCCCAGCTGCTCCTCATAAGTCTTATTTTCCAGTCCCTTCACCAGTTACATTGCTCTTTCTGCACATGCTCAATCTGTTCCACATCCTTGCAGGGCAGGCCCAAAACTGAGCATGAAATTCAAGGTGCAGTCTCACCAGGGCAGCATGCAAGGGGACGATCACTTCCCTAGTCCTGTTGGCCACACTAGTTCTAATCCAGGCCAGAATGCCATTGGCCTTCTTGGTCACCTGGGCATGCTGCTGGCTCGTATTCATAGATGTTCTTCCAGACAAGAATAGCCAAATATCATAATATAGGAAGAGAGATTTGAGATGTCGTTACCATTGATTAGTAACTTTCAGTCCAGGACCAAAACACATGGAAGAAATAACTGAATACGTTGTCAGTGTTCTAGCATTTATTATGGATTGAAACTAAAACACTTACTGGGTTTGTGTGTAGAGTGAAACAGATTCATCTCACCAGAATTCAGGCATGCAACAGATGCCCAGCCCTTGCCTAGCCCTTGCTTACAATCCATGGAGGGGACAGTGTACATCACAAGGGTTATCCATCCAATCCCTCTTTTCTTGATTTGGGAATCTAAGTTTGCAGAACACAGGCTAGCCAGAGCCTGATCCCAAACATTATTTGTGCATATATAATTATTCTCATGTGTAGTCCCCTATTTTTGACAGTTAATGACTAGACAGTTAATTATGTGAGTAACTATTATGCAGGAATGGGCTCAATTCTCATTGCTTGTGTTACAGAGAGACTAATTTGTCTCTGGAGATGTCTGTTCCTCCAACAGAGGAACTACAGAGGGAGCAGAGGCTAGAGCTAGTTCATAGGTAGACTTCTAACCTACACACGCAGCTTAGGTAAATCTAACCCATCATGTCTACCGCTTATGTTACTAATATTGGGTAATACCTGCTTCATCTCTAAAGGTCTGTAGGTACTTATCAGATTTTATGGGATCTGATTTCACAGCTGATGGCATAAGGTATAGCAGTTACTTATATAATTAGTAGGTAGCCAATAGCTTTTCTAAAATCAGAAGAATTCCACATGGGAGCAATTGCATGTGTGTAGGTAGGTTAGGCTGTTGTTGGCTGGAGATCTGTTAGGAAGCACTACATAAAAACAGTCACTGTAAGCGATGATGGAAAATGTATCGTGTTCTAATATATAGTGATTCTGTATTACATGTTCTGTTAGGGAACTCTCCTACACAATAATTGTTTTTAACAAAAACTGAAAAAAAGTGTTTGAAAAAAAATCAAAAATTCCTGTCCTTGATTTCAGGACAGTCATTTACTACTCAGGACCTGTATTTTCAAAACTGAAATTTTCAAAACTCCTATCAGTTTGCAGAAACAGAGCAAACTAGTGACCAACTCAAGCAAAAGACTTCCATGGTCCAATCCAAGATTTCCATGGCATTTGCCATAAATGGCTACAAAGAGCAGATAATTTCTGTCTACCCTTTCCACAAAATATAGGCAATATCAAAAACACGAGTAGGATTTACATCCTCCTCTTCTGCAGGAATAAACCCTTTTGAACCAGTTTCCAAAACTGTGTCCACAGCACAAGAAGTGTGATTTATTTGAAGGCAGAGAAACACCACAAGAATGACTAAAGGATTAGAGGAACACGGTTGGGAAGATAAGACAAGGTTATTACAGGCATGGGGATATATTCATGGCATCAGCATATACTGTGGCTCTTCCAGAACAGTTTCCAGTCTACACAAGACTGTATAGAGCTATCTGCATGGTTTTAAGTGTGATCAGCACTTGAGCTCTGTTTTGAGTTAATAATACCGAAAACCTGCTGTGTGATTCCTTGCCGTAATGACCTGTTAGTATACACATGGGCTTTCAGGCTATGAAAATGACCCATGATTTATAAAATATCTTCTTCCTGTTTGCAGTGATGCAGTAAAATACTGAGTCATCTCTAACCCTTTAGCTTTCCCTGTACAGGGTTGTTCTTGTTTGCTATGTCTCCTACTGTTTGGGTTGATGATAACGCACAGCAGTTTTCACTTGAACTAGTTCCAGTGGTATCACTTCTGGATGAATTATTACCCTTTCTTAGGGAAAATTTTTGAGTTACATCACTGTTGATTTGAATTACAATAAAATACAAAACAATGAGCAGTCTGTGTAGTTTTGATGAAATTATTGAGCTTTGACTTGGGGGATTAATTACCTGCATTCACTGCAAGCTCTATTTTTTGATTCCCTAAAGCAAGGTTAAATTATGTCAGTATTATAGTCCTTATCTTTTCCACAGAGGACGCTCTGATTTGCTTTTATTTTTCCCTGTGATGACCAATCCATGTATACAGATAGATAAGTACAGGAAGGTCAAGGTCTAGTCTCATCTTGATGAGAATGTTTCTTGCTTTGTTTAAACAAAGCCAAGCTGTAAAGAAAGTATGCCCTAGATCTCTGTTTCAGATCTACTGTTATCAAGACTCACATCAAGAATTCATTCCATTCTGAAATTATATCCCTTACTCTTACAATCTAGTTCAACTCCTAGAATGGTTTGGGTTCTATCTACTAAAATAGTTTTTGTTTGTTTGTTTGTTTTTCTAGTAACAAAACCCTGTCATCCAAAATTCTATTTGTCTATGAATTTGTCCATCACCTTACAGATCATGGTCCCTTATGAAGATCTTTTCAGCCGTCTACACAAACGGCTCTGATTTTCTAGGACTTGCACTGATTTGTTTGTATGTCCTAACTCTATGCCTTAAGCATGTCATGGCAGCAACCACTCCTGTCCTCACCTTTTCCAACATAATATGGGCAACTTCCCATTTTGCATATCGACTTGAAGTGGCTTCTTGCCCAACAGATTGCTTTGCATGGCATGCCAAGGCACCTAATTCTCT